CTACTACTACTACTACTACTACTACTACTACTACTACTACTACTACTGTGTTGGAAGGCGCGCTTTTTCGCATTTCTTTTGCCTTTCTCCGGCTGGGCCTTTTCGCACAAACTGGTCGCGTTCGTGTCAGGTCACCACTTTTGCCGAGCTGCGAGACGCCCTCCGAAGCACGGCCGGAAGCTTGAAGCACAGCCTCCACCCTAGTAGCAATGGCCTCGAACCCGCTCGCAAAGGCCTCCAACCTAAGAGCGTCCTTGCTCCTAGTAGCGATGCCAGGAGTCCCTAGTAGCTTCTTGTTCCTAGTAGTAAGGCCAGGAGCCCCTAGTAGCGTCCTTGCTACTACTAGCAATGGCCTCCAACCTAATGGCTTTGCAAGAGATTCATGTTTGGTGATGCCTTTGTGTGACTCTGAAGATTGTCGCATGTCTTTGAGCATGTTTTGGGACCTTGCTTTATCGATAAGTAGCACAGTGCCACGACTTGCTGAACTGTTCCGAGGGAACTGCAGCTCTCAACGAGAGGCGCCGGGTTTTGGCCACAGATATGTTGGAGGCCATTGCTTCTAGGAGGCCATCACAGGAAGCAGTCAAAAGCTGCTTGGGGACGTATTGTGGGAGGCTCCGTGCTGCTGGGCAGAAGGTCTTCGCAGCAGAGACCATTGCCGCCTTAAAAGCACGGGTGGATTTGGAGGAGATGTGTTTAATTGTGTCCTTTTGTTGCTACTACTAGCGTGGCACTTGTTTCTAATAGCTTCTTGTTACTAGTAGTAAGGCACCTGTTACTACTAGCTGCTTTTTGTTTTACACTGCTTTCCTCTTTTCTTCATCACTTTCACATCCCAGTCTATGGTGCAAAGATAGTCCAAAGTGTGCAACCTTGAATCACGAAGCAGGAGCCTCCAAAACCCTTTGTGGAGATCAATCCCCGACTGCCACGACAGCGCTGGGAGGCTCCCTCCTGTGGCTTGGGCCATCGGGCTTTGTTTCTGCTAGTCAGCTCGACGTAGAAGCAATGGCCTCCAACCCTTTTAGCGATGGCCTCCAACTTACTAGCAATGACCTCCAACCTGCTGCTTGAAGAATCTGCAGATGACAGATGTCTATAGTGTCGACATGCTGGGCAATACCGATGTTTCCTGCTCACGTACTCAACACCGGCTTTCCCTCGACCCGCTTGAATTTGCAGGTCACCCATGATTTGGCCATGGTCAGAGATGCACCTTCACTCGGTGCTCGTGCAGTAGCACGCAAGGTGCAATTGTTTTTCCTAGTAGCTTCTTGTTCCTAGTAGTAAGGCCAGAAGCCCTAGTAGCGTCCTTGCTCCTAAGTAGCAATGCCAGGAGGCCCTAGTAGCTTCTTGGGTGCCACCTTGATTCAGAGCCTTTGGATACACCAGTGCCCTGTCAGTGCTTTCTGTCAGCCAGGACAAAGGGCAGATAGTCGAAAGCGTGGAAGAGACCTTTGACGGCTTTCTGAAGCTTCCAGATCAGGCACTGATTGTTCCGGCTGCAACGTGGTGAGTCATTGTATAAACTTTGGTTTTATGGGCTTTGATCCACACCCTTTTATGTTCAAAGCAGAAATACGATCTTCCACTTCACTGCCCTTGCGACTACCGGAAAAAAGCCTACTAAAGGCTTAGACCGTGTTGGCCTTGCTTCACACATGTCGTTTCTTTTTCTTATCACTGTTCTTTTATTCTTTTTTGTGTGTCTTTTGGACTTTTAGACCTTTTCTTCCAAACAAATGCATTCAGACGGGGAGCGAAAGACACGTGCTGCTCTTCAGGCTGGTTGGTGCGCCAAGGACAGTTGTGCGGCACAGCCAAATACTTCCCAGTAACATTCGCGCTCTTAGGGAGGCCATCGCTACTAGGGTGGAGGCCATTCCATTCCTATGATGTTATCCATACCTTTCCGATTGAGACCAAGACCCAAATGAGTGCCCAGGGGCCTTTTTGGCCGAAAAGCCATGTTGTTCCTGTTCGATCTGTCCAGTGTCCACTTTGACCAAAGCATGGAGAGGATTGTCAAGGAAAGCTGGGTATTGGGCAGCATTGTGCTCAGCGCATTGCATGTCAAGATGTTTGAGAGCTTAGAGCTCAAGTTGATTCTAAAGGTACTCAACAAAATACCGTAACTTAAAACCGAAACCTGAGGTATTGTAGGTTAAGCTTAAATAAGAAAGTTGTTCAAACCGACCAAAAGACTTCTATTGTTTTTTGTTGTTTATGTTTTCCTGTTTGCCCTGTGATGGCGTTCTTTGTTTTCATGTCCTCCTTCGTTTCTTGTTTGTTTGTTTTTTTGGTTTTGTTTCTTTCGCTGTTGCTCTGCTGTCTATCAGATAATATTACGTAATATTAAGTAGCATTCTGTCACGTCCTGTGACTCAGTTGTCAATAGTAGTCACCATGTGGTGCCGTCGATCTCAGGTTGTTGAAGCCTTTGGGCTCCTCACGTCCCGTCATGGCATCAGAGACATTGGCCACCTCAGCAGGACCACAACCTTTCGAGGCAGCTTTGAAAGAACTCAATCAGACGAAGCAATGGCCTCCAACCTTTACTAGCGATCGTGGAATCGATGGCCTCCAACACAATGTGTATGTGTTTGTTCTAGTAACAAGCGCATAACACAAAACGATTCCTCTTTGAAGTAGTTACCAAGCAGCTTCTCCATGCTCGAATATTTTTTGATAGCTTGGGGTTTAGATCAGCGATTGGCTGGAAGCACTTGTCAGAAACATTCCTTTCAATGTTTTGAGAGCGACTTTGGTGCCAGGTTGTGTTTCAACCTTCAGTTGCAGTACGCTCTGCCCCCTCCACGTCAGCAAATATCATTAGCGCACGGCGATGTGGAGAGGCACGGTGCAACCGTTTTCCGCGCGATGGCCTCCAACCTAATGGCCTCCACGGGAGCCTTCCAAGCTCTTCTATAAAGATATAGTCGATCATGTTTGGAACTTTAGATCAAGTAATGCTTTGTGCGGTGACATGATTTAAGCATCTTGAAGTGCATCGTAGGTTGTACTGGCTGAGCTGCTTGCTCAGTCTTGATTGTCGAAGTGTGCTGATTTGGTGAGGGTGGAGGCTTTGGCTTTGCATCAAAGTGAGGACTCAGACCTATGATGGCTGGGTGCGTTTACACGAAGATGCCGGATGGATGTTGAGTGTGCCTGACATGTTGTCACTTCAAAAGATATCCGAACGGTCGACCACCGCCCAGCCAGGTCGGCATCCTCAGCACGGTGTTCTTTTGCAGCCAGCCTTTGAAAAGACTGCGCAGTCCGCAAGTCAGGCGCAGTCCGCAGTCTTCATCATTCATTGGGCTTTGCTTTGAGATGAGTGCTGTTTACTGTTGGCTTGATGAAGCATCGAACGGCTTCGGCCCTTGGATGGCACGACTTC